AGTGCTCCTGATCCCACAGCCCCTGGGAAAATGAACCCCTCTTTCCTTTGGGTGCTCCCAATCCCACAGCCCCTGGGAAAATGAACCCCTCTTTCCTTTCAGATGACCATAGAAATGTACCCCAGTGACCAGGTGGCTGACCTGCGAGCAGAAGTCACGCACTGGTATGAGAATCTGCAGAAGGAGCAGATCAACCAGCAGGCCCAGCTGCAGGAGTTTGGCCAAAGCAGTCGCAAGGGCGATTTCCCTGGTGAGCTCTTCCTGCCCTGAGGTTTTGCCTTTACAGCTTAAATGGTTGTGGGGATTTTTTCCCCAGACACCTCAAAGCAAGCGTTATGATTTATTTTCTTTAGCAATAGTTCAAATTAGTATCATCCCCTCTTCTAATTAATATTGTTTTTTAAGCACTACCATTTATTTGAAATAGCAAAGAAAATATAAATCCTTTAAGTCCTTGAATCAGTCCAAATTCCATGTTCCAGCAGATTTCCCCCCACATTATTTTTCTTCTTGTTGTTTGAATGATGTTATTTTCTATAAAATGGAGATTCTGTTGCACATGACTTGATAATATTTTACATTTCTGAGTATCTTATTCTGTATTTCATCTGATTCATGCACTTCTGGCTCTGCCATTGAGTCAGAGTTTGAAGCCACAATTTAAATCCATAATTTATGCTTTGTGTACATGTATTCCAGTCAGGTGGAAGATTTTCCTTACTCCTGCAATTGCTTTTTAATTTATGGTCATCCAGTAGCAGAAATGATTCTTCACCCTGCTTTGAGGCTGCTAATTTGGAATGTCACCTTGTTCTGTATAGTGAATAAGCATCCTCTTGTTATTCCCTCTTTGTGTTTGTGAGTGAATGAAAATCCTGCTTTATCCTTCAGGAGGGTGTTATATTCCTGATATTATATATTACAGCATTCTTAGCACTTATTCCTGTTCAAAGTGTTTTCTGAATTTTCTTGTTGTTTTCTTGGTTTTTCTTTCTCATTATAAACATGAGTTAGCATGTAATGAACAATTATCTGAATAAATTCTGTCCATGAACAGCTCTTTCCAACACCACCATTAATATATGTTTAAACATGATTTAAACTTGCTCTTCACAGTTTAACAAGTTCTAAAAAATCTGTTTTAATGAGACACAATGTAAGTAAACCAGACTGAATTTTGGACACATTAATTGTCTTCTTTGTAGAATCCTTTTCCAGCCACTCAGCAGAATCAGTTTTAGTACAGAAACTGTCTTGTTTTCTACCACATAGTAGTAAATATTTATTTTTGTTGTAACAGGCATTTTAGAAACATGTGGTCATGTTGGACAAAGTGTGTTTGTTAGAAGAGAGGCTTGGTTGTCTGCAAGAAATAGAATTTAATTCTTCATCTTTTGATTGCTCAGGTTTCTTGTTCAGTGTTGAGTTCTTTGCAGGGTGTTCTCAGCTTTTCCCTTCTGAAGTGGGTGTGACTTCTTTGGTTCCAGCTTACATTTAAGATTAATCAATGTTTCTTTGACTTGACCACCAGTGTGTGGTACAAGGACATCTTGTTGATGATCACAATAATTTCCATTATCCTTCTGTGGCACGGTATCGTTTACTACAAAATATGGAAGACATGTTTGAATTTGCATTATAAATACTTTTCACTACAAAGTTGGGTGACCTGGTACTGAAAAGATTATTTGTGAATACAAATGTAAAGTAAATTTATGCAAGTAAATTTAGTTTATTTATGCAAGTTTAAATTAGTTTAATGTAATAACCACTTTTTGCCTCAGCTGAAGGGTGTACTATCAAAACTGTGAAACTGAAACCATGATTCCAGAATTCTGCTGAAATAGGCTTTTATCCTAGGTGGGCTCATGGGACCTGTGAGAATGATTTCATCTGGGCACGAGCTGACAACTGACTATGATGAGAAAACTCTCCACGAGCTGGGCTTTAAGGACATGCAGGTACTGCCAGCATGGGAGAGGCCCTGGGGCTGTGGCCAAGCTTGGCTCTGCTCTCCTGCAGCTGGTTCTGCACCTGGGGCTGGCTGGGAGCTCCCCTGGGGTGGCAACAGCCTCAGGGGCAATCAGGAGTGTGACTGATGCTTTGTGAGGGCTGGGCACAGCTAAAGAATAAAGCAGGGATTTATTCACAGCATCTCCTCCATGGATCCACCTTGGGCAGCACAGAGCCCAGCCAGGGCTGCAGCCAAGGTGAACCAAAATGGTCACAACATGGACAATCAGTCACTTTTATAAGTTCTGCTCCATTTTCATATTAGAGCTCATTGTCCAATTCCAGCTCCAGCCCATCAAGTCCCATCCTTCTTGTTTTTCTCTCTTCCTTCTCCCATTATGCTGCTGGGCCTGAGATTCAGATCATTTGTCCTTGGTGCCCAGTTGGGGAAGGAACTGTTTTGTCTACCCACTGTGCACAGAGCTCACCATCCCATAATATGGAGCCCAGACCCACACCCTAAAGCAGCACAGAACCTGAAAAACCTGGAAGCTAAACCTGAGGCATCAAGTGCAGCTACACCATGAATGCCTGAAGTGAAAGCAAACCCAAACTTCATTTGTGGCCCTTGCTGCCAATGCCGCAAAGCCAACAAAACAAAAATTTGTCTTTGATTTTTGCATTCTGACCCTTGTGAAAGCATTGCATGCTTGTCATGAAGCTGTGTGTTTGCTCCTTGTCCCTCTGCAGATGGTGTTTGTGTCCCTGGGTGCCCCCCGGAGGGAGCGCAAAGGGGAAGGTGTCCAGCTCCCGGCCTCCTGCCTGCCTCCTCCTCAGAAGGACAACATTCCAATGCTCCTGCTCCTGCAGGAACCTCACCTCACCACCCTCTTCGATTTGCTAGAGATGCTGGCCTCTTTTAAGCCTCCTTCTGGAGAAGTGGCTATGGAAGATAGTGAGGTAATTCAGTTTAATTTTATTAGTACAATTGCATTTAAATCTTATTTCATTGGTTCTGGTTTTTCTGTGTAGCCAATTTTTCTCTACTCTGTTCAGTTGCTGGAGATGTTTATTGCCTGCTCATTCACATGGTAAAATCTTCATAATTCTCCTTTTTTCTTAGCAATAATATTGCTAAGATACTGCTATTATTTTCTTAGCAATAATAGAACATTTGAATGTTCTAAATACTGTAGAAGCTATAAAAGCAATTCTTAAGAAACAGTATTGATTATTTAAATTGATGTGGTGACTCATAATGGGAATTGGCTTGAAGAAAGGTTTGTGAAGTTTTATTGCAAAAAGCCAAGCTTCATCTTGTATGCCATCATTAGCTTGAGGGAAATGAAATCATATGTAGTACATTTGAACCTGTAATTTATTTATAAGTTTTGTCTGCATTTAAATATTTCAAAATATGTGATATGATTTAAAGATGATGTAACTTAGTTTCTTGCAAGTTGAGACCTCAGTTATCATATCCTAATTATGAATTTAGTTATTAGATAGGAAACAGCTTCTTAATTACAAATAAATGCATTTTTGGGCTTTGAAATGTCATTTTCTCCAAGAAGTTGACAGTAAGAATGGTTCTGGTTTGGTTTGTCAGAGTGCAAGGTGTGAAGAGCTCCATCTCCATGCAGAGAACTTATCCAGACGTGTCTGGGAACTGCTGATGCTCCTACCAACGTGTCCTAATATGCTGCAGGCATTCCAGAATATTTCTGATGAGCAGGTGAACAAAGCTTTACATGTTTATCTTTATTATACTCAATTTTTTTAGCATACAGTGTTTTAGTTGAAATGTCCCCAAATAGGAATGTTACATAATAAATCTGTTAGGTGTGCTGAGACAAGAGTAAACCTAATCTAAAACTAAACAGAGATGTCAGTTTAGCTCCCAAAGTTTGTTTTTATAATTTATTTTCAAAGTTTATTTTCTAAATGAAAAGAATAGTCAGTACTAATGATCACAATGTTTTTACTGGGATGGAAAGAGCAGTTTATTCAGCTGTAGCCTGGCTGTTGTGGTACTGATACTTTTGTGCTCTGTTCCCTCAGCTCATAGCTTGGGTTGCTTGGAAGCACAGTTAAATTCTTCAGATAAAAATATTATTCATCCTCTTTAAAAGTGGTTGAAATTGCATCCTAACAGATTGTAGATATAACAGCTTTTTATGCACACATGCATGAAAATTTTGGTGGCAGTTGCAGTGTGATGTTTGCTTTCCTCTAATGTAAAATTGTGTCTATTTTAGCATATAATAATGTTGCCTTTTCATTATTCAGATTGTTAATCATGTATAGAAATCTGCTTGAAATTGTCCAATTTCAGATAACAGAGGAAATTAAACCCCAAATAATTTATCTGTGCTACTTGAAAAATCCTCTCCCTGAATTTTTAGACAGATGAGCATTACATATAATTGTATTAATTATTTTCTTTCTTTTTTTCATCTTTTAAGGGTAATGATGGCTTCAGCTGGAAGGACCTTCTGCGAATCAAAAGTGCCCACAAACTTTTGTATGCCCTGGAGATCATTGAGGCTTTGGGGAAGCCCAACAGGAGGATAAGACGGGAATCCACGGTAATTTCCTTGCACAGAATCTTGATTTTTCTCTGAACCAAAGCATAGATTGATGGTTTATTTTATAATGTTACAATTCCTGAGCTGTTTCTACAGTTAATCTTGTTTATCTTTAGGGAAGTTACAGTGATCTTTACCCAGACTCAGATGATTCAAGTGAAGATCAAATAGAAAACAGTAAAAACACATGGAGCTGCAAGGTTTGTTTTTCTTACAGTATTCCATGATATCTAAGACAATTTTTCAAGATAAATATAAAATAAAAAAAAATTAAAACATTATCTATCCTAAAATCTTTTATCTCAAATTTTGGGATAACATTTGCAAGTTTTTCTGTGTTATCAGGCTTGTAAATTTGTGGTAGCCATGTACATTTCGTTCCATAAAATATCCAGCCGAATAATTTGTAATTTATTTATTAATTTATAAAGCTTAGGTTGGTATTTAACTGATCTTAGATCTTAGTGGTGTTTCTGTATCTGCTTTTTCTCACATTGATTCCATCATATGCTCACAGTTTGTTGCTGCTGGAGGGCTCCAACAGTTACTGGAAATTTTCAATTCTGGAATCCTGGAGCCTAAGGAGCAGGAATCGTGGACTGTGGTAGGTGTTCACTCTGCTTTTCTCTCCAGAAGAACATTCCTGGTGTTTGTAAAGACTTTGAATGCTTTGAGCCTTTGTTACAGTTATTTTTCTGTTGTGAAATAGATCCATTCTCTGATTGAAACCACCAGAGTCTATCTAGTAGCATCTTTTTTTAAAATATTTTATATTCCTGGAAAAGCTAATTTTAAAAAAGCAAGTATACATATACTTCTGCTTTTTTATGTTTTAAAACCATCCTTCCTCTTTTTGTGTGGATTTTGGGGAGGGCTGTCTATTCTTAAAATTGTAGAACTTAAAATTGAAACTCATGAAAACTTAGAGGGGAAAAAAATCTGGGTTCCTTCCTCAGGAATGATTGCAACTACGTTGGTGTTACTGTAACAGATCATACTTCTTTAAAGAAATCAAAAGTAGCCAAACAAGTACGGAATATTTATTTATTTATGTTATTTTATCTGCTTATTTTAAGGAAGGTTGTTATTTGGAGAATTATATTATAGTCTGTATTAAAAGCAGTAATCTGTTAATTGTCTTTCCCTTGTTAAGAGGCCAAGAGATGCCATTTTCCCTTGCTGTCAGTGAGACAATTAGCATAGTGGCTGTGCTGCCAATAAAGACACCTGTCAATAATGCACATGTTCTATAAGAATGACTAATAATTCCCTTTTTCATTAATATTCTGTCATTTGTTTGAGCTGCATTCAGGTTACTTCTAGTTTTTTATCCTTTATACCTTACTGAGGCTTTCAGTTACAATTTCCATAGCAGGCATTGAATTATGTGTAAAGTAAATCCCTCATAATTGAAGATTTCTCTTTGTATTTCTGGGGTTCCCCAGTGAAGTGAGGAATGATGAATCTGACTCCATGTTTTTAGAAGGCTAATTTATTATTTTATTCTATTATATTAAAGATTACTAAACTAAACTATACCGAAGAATACAGAAAGGATACAGACAGAAGGGTGAAGGATGATAATGAAAACTTGTGACTCCTTCCAGAGTCCCAGTTGGTCATTTGTCATGGACATATTTAATGAAAAATCCTTTTGCTAGGATTTTTCTCCTGAGAAGCCTCAGAGGGAAAGAAAACCAATAATTATCTGCTGCTGTGCAATGCAACAGGTGCATCTGTGATTGGTGCATGTTGGTTGTTTCTAATTAATGGCCAATCACAGTCAGCTGGCTCGGACTCTCTGAGAGTCACAGCTTTTGTTATCATTCCTTTCTATTCCTTTCAAACCTTCTGATGAAATCCTTTCTTCTTTTAGTATAGTTTTAGTATATCATTTTCTTCTAATACAATATATATCATAAAATAATAAATCAGCCTTCTGGAACATGGAGTCAGGATTCTCATTGTTTCCCTCCTCCTGGGACCCCTGTGAACATCACCACAGTCATTGAGTCAAAGCAATTCACATGAGCTCAATGAAACAACCACCTGTTGGATAAACAATCTCCAACCACATTCCAAAGCAGCAAAGCACAGGAGAAGCAAATGAGATTATATTGTTTTCCTTTTTCTCTCAGGCTTCTCAGCTTCCCAGGAGAAGAATCCTGGGCAAGGGAATTTCTCCAGAAAATAAGACAGTGACAGATTTGTTTTCCTTCCCCTTGCCAGTGGCAGCTGGACTGTCTTGCCTGCCTGCTGAAGCTGATCTGCCAGTTTGCAGTGGACCCCTCAGACCTGGACCTGGCTTACCACGATGTGTTTGCCTGGTCTGGGGTGGCTGAGAGCCACAGGAAACGCGCGTGGCCGGGCAAGTCCAGGAAAACCACGAGCGACCACGTCAAGGGCCTTCACATCCCCAGGCTGACTGAGGTAGGGGGCACACAGAGGCTCTGGGAGCTCTAGGAAACATCTCCTTTGCTAAAAGAGTAAATGTGAAGTCCTTATTTTAGTTATAAAATCGTGGAGAGAAAAGTTAGTAGTACTAATTGGTCTCAGTAATATAATTGATCTCTTGCTTGTTCTCTAGAAAAGTATTTGCATGGTTTTAAACCTGGCAACCAAAAGGTGGTTTTTGGTGATTGATGAACACATTAATTGGGAATTCAGAATTGCAGTGCTTTGTCCCTGTTTCTTAGATTTTGTTTCCTGAATTGATCAGTCCTTTTTTACAGTAGCACATTATTATTATTATTAACCTGCATTTATAACATGAGCTGCCCTTGTCCTCGCTAAATCCGTTGGATTCCTTTAGTAAACACTGAAATAACTTTATTAGGGATATCTGGGTGAGTGTGATCTTACCTGCAGCTGTGAACCTTCCTGCCACATTCCTGCAGGCTGATTTCCTAGAGCAGCCTGAGCACAGGGGATATTTTGGCATCAGGGAAACATTCACTGTAAATTGACTTTCTTGGGCACAGGACCAGCTGTGACTGCCAAAAAGTGCAGGTCTGAACTCTGAGCTGGAGCCAAACTTCCCCTTTGTTATACCTGGAAAGACCTTCACTAGTCTATAAATATCAGCCTTTTTTGATAAATCCCTAAATCACCAGGGCTGCTGTCATACAGGGAACTTAGCACATGTATTAAATTTTTGAACATGTAAATGCTGCTGTTGCTTTCTCTAACTGGTTTTAAATTTTTAGTTGTCAATGGATAAGTATTCTTGATTTGATATTTAAGTATTTTAAGATTTTCTTCACACTTGGATTTTAAAATTCTGTGTAGTCTGTCAGGTTGGCTAAAGATGAATATTTTAAGAGAGTGGTTAGTCAGTAAAATGTGTTGATTACAGAGGTTGGCAAAATTTAAGTGTCCAACCTCATCCTCAGCCCTGTCTCCTCAAAAATAAGGTTTTTAAAAGGCTGTGAGTAGTTTATGCTTTAAAAAAATACCATGTTTTTACTAAAAGGATTGAATAAATGGCTGATTTTCCTATTCAGTTGAATTGTCTTCTTTAGAGAATGAAATTTTAGCATCTAGCCCTAGTCAGTGAAACATGGGATTTTAGCTCTGCTTTAATAAAGCCAGTAAATTATTAACTGTGAAGATGCTGTGGTTTGCCTTTGGCCCTTCCTCCTCTGCACAGGTGGGTTTATTTAGATTCACACAGTGTGTATAATTAAAAAACAGATCAAAAAGCTTGTTGTTATATTAACTTGTTTTTTTTTTTTTTTTTTTTTTTGACTTCAATTTTTAAAGGTGTTTCTTGTACTTGTCCAGGGAACCAGTTTGATTCAGCGACTTATGTCAGTTGCTTATACATATGACAACTTGGCACCTAGGTACAAATCTTCTTATTTTTGTGATAAAGCTGATGAGTGTGCTCATTTCCATGGCTGCTTTCCTGCAGGACCCGCCCCGGGGCTCTCCCAGCCGTGCTCCCTCTGCCAGCCACATCCACACTGAGCTCCAGAGGCTGGAACTCGCTTTTCCTACTCACCTCCTGAGAGCTCTGTGCTCAGGGTGTAAGGCATGGGTGTATAAATCATAAATGGCACAAATTCTCATGCCAAAATGTGGCAATGTTCCTCACTCGGGGTCACCAGATGTGCTGGTGTTCTCAGGGGTGCCAGGACCAGGGAAGGGATGAGAATCCTGACTCCATGTTTCAGGAGGCTGATTTATTATTTTATGATATATATTATATTAAAAGAAAATTATGTATTAAAACTATACTAAAGAATGGAAGAAAGGATTTCATCAGAAGGCTTGAAAGGAATAGAAAGGAATGATGATAAAATCTTGTGACTCTCAGAGAGTCTGAGCTGACTGTGATTGGTCATTAATTAAAAACAACCACATGGGACCAATCACAGATGCACCTGTTGCATCCCACAGCAGCAGATAATCATTGTTTGCATTTCATTTCTGAGGCTTCTCAGGAGAAAAATCCTAGCAAAAGGATTTTTCATAAAATATGTCAGTGACACCAAAATCCCTTCTTTGTTTTCTCCAGAGCATTTTTAATTTCAAGGTAGAGTAAAGGAGAAATCAAAATAAATTCATTTTCATGTTGCTTAGTTGTCTGTCACTTTTGACTTATTTTTCTCATCCTGTTGATACTGAAGGCAAAATCTGACATATATTTGGTCCTGTTGCCTTTTTGTCCTGAGAAAAGCAATTCTGTGTAAGGCTGCATTGTGGCAAGCAGACTGGTGCTGGGGAGGGCAGGTTTTTGTAGAGTTGATTCCAAGTGATGGATAGTTGTTTTACCATATTTTTAAAAGATTGTTAAGGACATTCAGAACATTTCCAGTCTGCAGGTGTGCTTAACTTGGGCTCTAGTTGAGTTGCAGGAAAATTTTTGAAGGATATATGCTATATTTTTGGTTTCATAACCTTTTATTGTAATTAATAACAATGGAAGTAAATAAATAGAAACATTTAAAGTTTGAAAATGTTTATTCAGAGTGTGGTTCCTTTATGAAGAAAACTAGATTTATTCAGTATGAGTCAGTTCTTAGCTCTGACACCTCTGTTTTGGATAAAATAAAGAAGGGGCTGTGGGTACTTCTCCTTGGCTTTTAATCTTGTAGTCAGTAAAGCTTTATGGGGGTGACTTGAAGGTTTTCATAGTTTTATTATTGTTGCTAATTTTGAATACTGCAAGCAATGAATCCTTTTAAGATGAATTAAGATTTTCCAAGTGGTTACTTAAGAGTAACTGTGTTGTGCCTTGTGTGTACTTGTATTTCTGAAATCTGTTATGTGCTGTGTGATAAAATTCAAATGATTTTCTCTTCTTCCCATCAGGGTGTTGAAGGCTCAGTCTGATCACAGGTCAAGGCATGAAGGTCAGTGCTGCAAAACAGCTGGGTCAGGAGCTAATCACAGGGATGGCAAATTGATGATAATTTATTATTTGGGTTTATTCCACTGTTAGAAAGCTGGAAAATCGTTTTACTCCAAGGAAATACCCTTGGTTTCTGAGTGAAATCCAGTTCGAGCTTTTTCCCCAGTCTGGGTTCAGGGTGAAATCTGGTCCTGGTTATTCCCTGATCCACTTTCCAGGGGAAATCCACTCCATGCTTTCCCCATCTGGATTTTCTGTGAAATCCGGTCCAGGTTTTTCCCTGAGCCACTTCCCAGGAGAAATCCAGTCCAGTTTTCCTTCAGTCCCAATTCCAGGTGAAATCCAGGCTGGTTTTCCTTCAGTCCCAATTCATTCCCAATTTTCCTTCAGTCCTAATTCCCTGAAAAATCGGGTCCAGTTTTCCTCCTGTCCTAATTCTGTGAGAAATCTGTTCTGGTTTTCCTTCAGTCCTAATTCCAGGTGAAATCCAGTCCAGTTTTCCTTCAGTCCCAGTTCCAGGTGAAATCCTGTCCGGGTTTTTCCCTGATTAAGCTTCCCAGAGAATTCCTGCCTGGGTTTTTCCTGCTCCTGTTTTCTGGCTGAAATCTCACTGAGATTTTCCCAATCCTCTTTCCAGGCTAATTCCCATCTGGATTTCCCCCCATTCCTGTTCCCACCCCTCATCCCCAAACTTTATCTAAGACCAGGAAAGGGGAAATTCAGTTTTATTTTGGGAGTGAAGCTGGGGCAGTGGTTAGAAGCATCTTCTGCTCAGTGAGGTTTTCAGCTGTTCCCTCTTGCCAGAACATTTCTTGGTGGGCTTGTGGCAGAAATTCCATGTGAGACTTTTCAGCTCAGATTTCATCAATGAGGAGAACAGCAAATTGAGACAAGTCCCATACAGAACTTTATCCTGCATTAATAACTAATGGCAGAGGTATGCAGGCAGGATTCTTTGGAAATGTAACACCTTGCAAAGAAGAAAATAAGAAATTCAGGTGGAAGTTAAGTAGAAGATGAGGGAGATACTAGGAATAAACTCTGGTTGCACCTGAAAAGTTAAGTTTAGACCTTATTCCAGGAGCAGCTTTATTCTGCCATGAGGAAAAGCTTCATTGGCAAGACAGGTGGGGTCCTATTTCATAAAAAGCTGTTCTGGACACCCCTGGACACATCTGTAATTGAGTGTTCAGGCCTTGTTTACTGGGAATAAATCCCAGTAGATACTGGCCCCAGAAATTGCTGCCATTCATTTGATAGGCCTGTGCTTGGGCTCCTGCTGCTGGCAGTCTCTCTCCTAAATAATGAAAGATGAAGAATGGTTTCTCTGTTGATAATTCCTACAAAAATGGAGTATTTGAAAGTGTAGTCCTGGACAGCATGCTGCTCTTAGTACAGAGGAAAGGTGGCACTGGATGGAGTCTGAAGCACTGCAAAATTCTCATTCTAATTTCATTACAAAGGCTTTACCTAAGAATTTCCAAAGTTCCTTGGGGGCTGCAAGGTGATTGCAATGAAACTTTTGTTTGGGGCAACACAAACATGGCCACAGAAATTAGTACAAAACAGGAAGTAAATGTGAAAATGTGCTACAAAGCACCAGCTCACAGCTCAAGAAGCAGAGACTTAGGAAAGGACTGTGCCCCTCACTGGTAATTTTGATCTAATTGGATGGTCATCATTAGTACAGTGGTCAGTATTTAATTAGCATGTTGGTAAAACTCTGAGGTTTTTTGTATCCTTAGGGCCAAGAGAGATTTTGTCTTGCCAGTTACTGAAATAAATGTAATTTTGGGCTGTGCAGCCCTTCTGCCCAGGAAGCCCTTGCTGTGCTTACACCCTTTAAAACGGGCAGGTGGGATAAGTCAGAGCCAGAATCAAAGGCTGCAATTCTGTCGCTGTGCTCAGCCTTCAGGGGCAGCTCTGAATTTGGCTGCCTGCTTTGGTCACGTGATGGCAGTGGCAGCAGTGTGGGATCATGAGAGGGATGTCCATGAAACAGGAAACCTTAAGGAGCTGTGAGTAAGAGCTGTACTCTGGAATACCTGAAGAGCTGCAGCCAGTCTGTTCTCCTGCTGAAGCTCACATTTGGGAGCTGGAGTTACCTTGATAAATGGTGTGTAGTGCACAGCTAGGAAGGAAATAAGTGCTGGAGGTCAGGTTTAAGGAGCCAACAGGTTTGTTAAGTGTATATGTGACTCTAGACAGGCGTGGTTTACAGTGGGGTTTGTCTCCTCCTGCAGTCACTCACTATTCCATGTGGGGTTTGTCTGTTCCTGCAGTCACTCACTGTTCCATGTGGGGTTTGTGTATTCCTGCAGTCACTCACT